CCAAACCCCCCGGCCCGCCCCGCGGGCAGCACCAGCACCGTTACGGCCCACGAAGGACAGGCTCCTGGGGCCGCTGCTTCTGGAGACCCCGCTCCCCATCGAGGCAAAAACCCGTCTCCACCCCGCCACGACCCAAAACCCGTCTCCACCCCGCCACGACCCGAGTGCGCGCCAGCAGGCTAACGGCGCTCACGAGAGCAAAGCTGTGGAGCTGAGGCCGCGGGGCCTGCAGCACGAATTGCCCCGTTTTAGGGAGTTCTGTGGTCCTCGGTCTCCAGTCCCTCACAGCGGTGGCCAGGTGGCACTCGGGAATTTCACGACCTGTGTTGGAAGCGCGGCTGATGCGGTCAGCTCCAGAGCCTGCCTGTGCCGCAGGGAGCCCTCATCCCTGAAGCTCACCCCCAAAACGAGGTGAAGGCCTGTAGTTCCCCCAGGCAACATTGGGGACGTTACCTACAGAGCGCGATGCTAAAGCAACAGCGTCTTTGCATCTCCCTTTACGTTTTCAATCTCTTCTTTTTCTTTTAGAGAATTGTTATCAAGCGATGCGATGAAAGACTACAACAGAGCTCGAGTTTATCTGGATGAGAACTACAAATCACAGGAACATTTTACGGTAAATGCCTTTCTGTCGCGAGCCGGGTTCAACAGATGGTGAATTTCTTCCATGACACTGTTTGGGGTTTTCGGTTGGCGTGAGGGTGGGAGCTGTTTCCACCGTGACAGGGGTTACATTTTTGCTGGGAGCATTTGCTTTGTAGGATGTGTAAATGCTGACTTCACAGAACTGCATCCAGGTAAAAGTGAGTAGAACATCAGAACGGACAGAAAGTCTTTTTTTTCTTTTCTTTGCTTGTTTTTCCTCTCTAACAATTAACCGTCCTGGTGGATCGGAATTGCCTTCCGCTCGAGGGAAGGGCGGTGGTGCCAGCTCTGCAGCGGGATTAGCTGGCCACAGGGCTCGGCGAGCATTCCAGGCGCGTGTTAAGCATCTCTAGCGCCGATTCACAGGCTCGCTCGCCTGTGGGATCGCGAGAGGAGCCAGAGCACAAGTTTCCGATAGCGTGCGAGTGATGTTTGGGTAAATGTAAAAGCACGTGTGTGCGGGGTCGCCTTTTGTGGGGAGCAGAAGTGATCGTGCGGTGCCCGCTGTGCCTGTACAATATGCAAACAGGTCTGCTGTTTACCGAGGTGACTGCTGCTAGATTGCCCAGAAAGAAGAGCCCTTCAGTGGTGGATTGGTGACAGCTCCCTTCTCCCCAGGACAGCAGCTTCCCTTCCCCCCGGGGCACCACTCCCTGGCAGTGCTGGCCCGGAGGAGCCCCGGTGCCGCCTGGGGCCCTGCTCCCTGCACGTGAGCGGGTGCTGCCCAGCAGCCGAAGGCAGCAACTGGGACTTGCAGTGCAACCACAGGAAAAACAGCCCCTGCACGCACACAAATCCTAGCCTGGTAGCGTATAACCTCGGGGAATAAGGACCTGGGAAGGTTTTTATTTATTCATTTTTTAATTACTTTGGCTAGGAGCCCAGGTAACATGGAACTGGGGGAGAGGTATCAGGATTTTTTTTCTTTTTCTCATGAAAGAGGAGAAAACCAAGATTATCAGCTTTACCGAGCTTTAGGGAGAGGAATCTTGCATCAGGAGTGTTAAAACCAAATGCTGAAGGTGTTCCCGAAGCCCCGGTAGATGAAGGGCGATAGGACAGAACTGCGTGCTTTAGTCTCTTACAGCTCAGAACTGCGTTGGGATAAACCTGCTCACTAACAACGGCCCCGCAGGGGTCCCGTCGCAGGGCTGCGGGGGGCCTGCCGCAAGCACCTCCCGATACGGTTGGGGGCTCTGCTCAACCCCATCTGCTTTCAGCAAAGAGTCGGGCCGGATGATCTCCAGAGGTCCCCTCCAACCTCGACTTCCCTGTGATTATGGGAGAGAGGGACAATCATCTGTGGTCTTAATTTGGGAAATGCAGTAGAGAAGACTGACGCAACCTATAACAGAGCATCTATAACTTTTTTTTAAAGCTGGTTGCAATGCTTTTTAGTATTGAAGTTCTTTTATTTAACACAAGGTACATTTATTTTTGATGTCACTGCGGTGGATAAAAAGTCTCTTCAAGAGGTCGACAGCAGTGCTAGGCGCAGAGCATGTGCTGCTGGTGTCTCTGAAGAACTCTCTGGTTTGCAAGGTTCCTAGTTCAAGAAATAATGCGGTTCTTGTTTCGCATACTAGCGTTATTTTCTAGGCACTATGTTCTCTTGCAGTGTTCCCCAGCCACCTTTGTAATTCTCCCTTTCCTGTCGTAAATATTACTTTGCGTATCTCTTTCTTCTCCTCCTGTGTTTGCTAAAGTGAGGCCTTCCTGGAAAAAGAAATTCTGTCAACATATTCGGTCAATAAAGGGGGGGGAAGACTGCTTGTACAAATACCATTTTCCATGGAAATAGTCTAACCAAACGTGTGTTTATTATTTGATTAAATTACTTTCTGTTGAACTAGTAACTGTAAAGACATGAAGCAGGTTTGTAATGAGGTTTGACAGGGCGCCACGTGACAGGCTGTTTGTAAATAACGCGACGCATACCAGTAAAGCCATGTCGAGCGGCCGGGCAGCGGCCGCATCAGCCTCAAATGGAGATGATCACAGGAGGGGGAGGGCATTTTCCATAGGAGCCCGCGGATCTTTTCAGGTGTAGGCTCATCTGTATTAGTAACCTGGTGGCGGGTGCAAAAGCATTGCTGATAGAATCAACAAATAACAAAGCTATTGGGCAAGAACGAGTGCAGCACCAGTGCGTGTTGGTAAGGCGTCTGTGGTGGAGAGGGGATGCCCTGCCTGGGAAAGAGCCATTCTGGAAAGGATTTGGAGGCTATGCTGGACAAACCAGAGGCGAGCTCCCATCGCAGTGCTGTAGCTGAAGAGGGAAGATGGTTCTGGAAAGCACAGCTAGTGGAGAAGGGGCGTGAGAAAGGTGGTGGTTGCGTCTCTGCATACAGCATGGGTGCCCTGGCATCCAGTTCTTGCATCAGAATTTTTAAAAGCATAGAGAAAAGATGGAGGTGACTCATAGAAAGATGTGTCTGGCTTTTTTCTGTCTGTCATTCTTTCCAACCTGCAAGAACCTTTCAGAGTTGAATCAGTTCAGTGTGGAAAAGGGGAAAAAAAAAAAACCAAAAAAGATGAGCGATGATTTAATTATGCTTTATATTGCTATCATCAGGAGAAAATGCTGTGTGCTAGAGGAGTATTTTATACCTTCCATCTTAGACTTCCAGTAGTAGCAGCCTGGAACCAAAGCCAGAAAACCTAGAAAGGAGAGAGGATGCACCTTCCTACTGAGCTGCTTAAACTTCGGACTCCTTGAGTTCTCCTTTTTGGCACTTCATGCTGGCAGTCCTCGTGCGTAGTTCCTGAGGCTGCTGCTGTGAACCCAAGGTTGGTATAAACAGTTCCACACGTGTGATTTGAACTGGCAGTTCTGCAGCCCCTCTGTTCAGTCTTGGTGTGCACGTAGCGTATGCGTTGGATGGGTATCTGAGCAGGGATTTCACCGCTGTGCTGTGTCCATTTAGGGTAAAGTTTTAGTCTTATCTCCAGTGTGGTTTGGCTCGTATGATGTTATGCGTCTCCCTGTTTCCTCATTAGTTCTGTTTGATTGCAAAGTTCTTTTAACTTCTGTGGGCTTCTTTCCATCCCTTCTAAGGCACGGAATTGGCAGGAGATGGTGGCCTTGTAATTATTACATTATTACCTCTCTGTCTTTGCAATATAAACATTTATCCCATACATTGTTGTCTAACGCCATTTCCTTCAGCAGTGGAGAAAAGCCCGAGTCGTTGCAGTTTGGCTAACCTTTACCCCTGCTGCTTTCACATCCCCTTTTCTAGCCGTTTTGGCATCACTGCTTCTGTAGGGCTGTCCTTGGCTTGGCTCCTTGCAAAGCTAAATCAGATTTTGCTGCCCGTAGCTACTCGACTTGGCTGTGTTAGGACTGACACTGAGATCCGAGACAGTGTTTTCAGTAGCCTGTCCCTTCAGCACACAGCCTCTCCCCTCCTGTTCAGAGCAGCCTGGGATGAATGTTTTATGTGAATGTCGTGAAATAAAACAACAGTGTGCTAAGGAGGCGTCTCTTGTGGAGTGATTTGGTTTTAAAATCTCTACTAATTCCATATGTAGTAAGGATCAGAATGGTTCACGTCGCATCATTCCAGACACAAATGAAGTTTAACACCAGGCGTTTGTCATTTATGGTCACGTATACCAGGTGTGGTATCAACCAGAGTGGTGGTAGGTTTGGGATTTGTGGGGAAAGAGCGGGAGGTGTCGTGACTAGGGAGAAAACTGTGGTTCGGTCGGTTGGGTTTGTTTTGCCCTAGGTGATAGGGTGAAGCTGCGTGGCAATTTGTTCCACCAAAGCTTCTTGCACACCAGGCACAGCCCGTGGGGCGGGCAGCGAGGGTGCAGCCTGGGGGGCGCAGTGGATGCAGCTGGCCCTCGGACAGCCGGCGGCTGGGCTCTGGTCCCCGTGGGGCCATCACCCCGCAGCCTCCAAGGGAAGGGCTGAGAGGGACAGACGGATTTTGGCAGCGACTCTTGGCCTAAGGCTTTAATTAAGGCAAAGCTGACAAGCCTTTGCAGCAGAGGTTTCACGGGGAGCGCCGGGCAGCGCGCATGGGCGTGGATGAAGCAATTCCTATCGCATTTCAGAGATGCACAGCTTTAAAATGATCTGAAGATGAATCTCTTGGCAGAAAGCTGCTCCGCTAAAGCTAATGCTTATCAGCTCTGGGGAGATGACGGCGTCGGAGTTAAGAGCTCCCAACAGTTATGAATGAGGCTTGTGGGTGACGGCCTTTGCGAGCGTAGCGATGGCTTCCCAGAAGTTGCAGATTAGCGAAGCGGGCAGCTGTGATGCTGTTCCAGTTATGACTGGAAGTACTGGTAGCAAGCTAGCGTGGACAAACTGGCTCGTGTGCTAGCCAGAAATTTTCAGATGCTCAAATAGCTTGACAGTGCTTTCTGAAATTCAGCCTCCTGCAAATCTCCATGTCAAACTGCGATACTTTTGTTGTCTAGAAGGCAGATCTTGGTTTCTTGTCAGAGAACGTAGAGTTAGTGAAGAGAGGCCAGATGCAAGAGGCCTGGAACAGGTACAGGTCTGAGAAGCTGAGAAACGCCATACGATTGTTTTATTTATTTCTGAGTACACCCGATGGACTTCACCCGTAACGAGGCAGGTCTTCGCGGTGGTGCTGCGTGTTCCCCGATGTCCTAGCATTTACATTCGCTGTTAATTCTACTGCACTTGGCATATTTCATGTAAGGGGTAAATTATAAATCTTGATGGTTTTCCAAGTGAAGGGTTCCTCAGAAGTAGTTGGGTTTGATGAACTTTTACCTGTTGATACTTCTCAAAGAGCGTAAGTTGATGGCGAACAAGGTGCTTTTGTTCTGGACTAAGAGCATTCATACCAAAGCTGAATGGCAGCCGGAAATAAGTTGATGTTTTCATCAAATCTATAATTATTTTTATGTGAAAACATGTCAGTATAATCAGTGACATTTTTTATCGTCATTAGAGCAAAGCTAGTTTTGTTTGGTGCCC